CCAAAAACTAGGGAGTTGTAAGGTTATCTCTTTGTCCTCAAAAGAAAGAACAAATTAGTGAATTTGTTGGAAAATCCTTGGTGAGGAGCTAAGGTAGTGGATGTAGACTTTGGTTGAGACGAACCACTCTAAATCGCTATGCAATTTTCTATCTTTCAATATCCTTACTCCCTAAAAACAAAACCATTCCTACCCATCTTTGCAAACCGTTCCGGTTGTCGATTCGAGCTTCCGAAAATCCCAACAATATTGTACATGTAATTATAAAACAAACTAAAATTAAGAAGAAAAAAACAAGAATGGCAACCCTATCATTTACATTACTGAAATCAAATTCATCTGACATGTCTGCGAACCAAACAAAATATGGAATTGGATTCCAATTCAATTTTCTGCCAACCAAACAGAATATGGAATTGGATTCCAATTCCGGACAAATTCCAATTCCTTCACATATTCTAATTCACTCATAAACATTCCAACGAACCAAACGCCACCTAAGATCCTGATTTCAATTCCCTCACCATCAGCCGTCACAATTGCCGCTAATCGACCAAAATTTCGAGGACGTGCGACCATCCGAACATCCAATGACCAAACCCCCATGTTTTAAGTTACGATTACAGTAAAAACGGACAATTGTAGCTACTTATTGATTCCAGTAAAGGGCAACGATTCTAATGATTCAAGCGATGATCCTCATGATATGTGTTCGAATCTAGTTAGGTGAAGTGGTTGACGGCAAAGAGCGACGACTAAGGCAACATCAGTGGTGTTCAAACGTAAGTAAAAGGATTTGGAATTAGGGATTTTAGAAATTTGAGTGTTTTTAGATTTAAGAAATTTTTTTATTTTTTAAAATAAATTTTATTTTTAAAAATAAATTTTTAAATTTTTATAATTTGATATGTGTCAATTAACAATCAAATTTAACGACAGATCAATGTAGGTAAAAATATTTGGAATTAGGGATTTTAGATTTTGTGTTTTTTAGATTTAAGAAAATTTAAATTTTTTAAAAGAATTTTTTATTTTTTATTTTAAAATAATTTTTTTATAAATTTAACATATGTCAATTAGCAGTCAAATTTAACTGACATACACTTAAAAAATATGAGGGTGGAACTTTGCAGGGTTAAAAGTAGCATGGCCTCTGTAACTATCTTTTTTATATATATATAATATATATATATGAGAAATAAATAAAATAAGTTTTATGTCCCTCAGTTGAAAAATGAATATTGATCAGTAGATACTATTAAACTCCTTTTACTTTTGATCTCTACTTTAATAAATTTTTAGTTTGTCACTGAGTGTAACATCAGAAAGGTTAGATATTTTTAATAAAAAAATTTAAACTTTAAAATTAATTTTGAGTATTTTAAACATTTATATTTGTATTAACCTACTTTTAAGTAACTTACATATTATTAAACATCAATAAATTGCACCAAATCATTATATTTTGGTCACAAAATATGAAAAATTACCCGTTACCCTCTAAGTTTGTCTTGAAAATTTGTTAAAAATATAAATTGTTAGATTCAAATGTAATAATTGTCCAATTCTTTATTGTTATAATGCAGTAATGATTTCAAAATCATAAAAAAATATGTAAAAAACTAGCATATAAAATATTTAAATTAGTCATTAAATTAAAATTTCATTTTAGATTAGCGATTTAAAATTATTTTTATTTTATTTATTTTTTATTTTGACCTTTTTAAAAAAAACATGTTAAGTCGAATCCAACTAGATTTTTAATTATATATTAATTCCCCAAAAAAAGTAAACTTCAGAAATTGTGAAACAAATTTAATTTATTGGGAGCTGGATCCAAAAATTCATTATTAAAAATAAATTTTAATTTATTGTTTGTTTTGAAGAGAATTGTTTTTGGGTTTAAATGGGTATTTTTAATTCATTTATGCCCATTTCTCTTACTTGTATAAGGCCCAAAACCAGCAAAAGAAAATGAAAAATAATATTCGATGAAATGGATTGACCTTCAGATCTTCATTTTGACACTCTCCCATCTGAGCTACTCTCCCAGTTTGGGAGAATACACGAAGCTGACTGATGAGAGATACCCAAAACCAAATCCTTTCGTTTCACAAATAAACCATTCTGATTCAGTTCCCCACAATCAGAAAATGAAGAAGAAGAAGAAGAAGAAGAAGAAGAAGAAGTTCGGTTTAAGTGGTGACGGTGAAAGACGATTTAGGGATGTCAACAGTGGAAGGAACTCTGGGTAAAGGTAGAGATTCGCGGGTTTGATGATGGTCATGGTGATGTTGTTGACGATCGTTTTGAATTTGGTTGAAGAGCAGTGTGTTTGGTGTTAGGCAGGGGCGGATCCAAGCCTAGGCCTACCAAGGCCATGGCCACCCCCTACGGACAAAAAGGGGAAATTACTTATTGAGTTACTCATAAATTATTTACTTTTTTGGTCATATAGCTATTATTTATTTTAAATAACACTTAATTTACGTTTTGGTCATTATCTTTAAAAAATTAGCATTGATGTTAATATCATCATAAGATAATATCATATCATGACTGAAAAAATAATTAAAAATGATGTTAACATCGTTAAATTTTTTAATATTGAGTGATCAAAATAGAACCAAAATGTAAGGTTAACTATGATTTTGAAAAAATAATAGTTAAGTGACCAAAACATAAGTTAAGTAATAGACGGATGATCAAATAGTTAGTTTACCCAAAATAAAAAAATGTATGAATTATGTTAGATAAAAAAAAGTGATATGCAGAAGTTACAAATTTCTGGGCGGATTTCAAATTCTCCTCGTGTAGTGGTGGTGGTCTTCTCCTCACCCATGTAATTTTAGTTTTATTTTATCATTTTTATAATAATTTTTTGTGATCTCTTTTCTTGTAAAAGGATATTGACTACTAGGGGTGTTCAAAAAACTCGATGATCATTTGATCCGTTGATTCGATCCAAAAAACGGATATCGATCCGTTTTTCATTTTCATATAGTTCGGATCGGGTATAAATTTTTTTCGGATCATCGGATCGGTAAAAAACAATTTTGGATTATCCAAAATTGTTTGCTATTTTCGATAAAAAAAAAATCTTTTATTTCCCAATTCTTACTCCTTCCCTTGTTATCTGTCTTAGAAATTTTTCACACTTCAACCTTTGAAGTTCAAAGTTTAAATATCATCTCTCTTTTCTTTCCTTGTTTTTAAATCTATAAGTTTCTTCTTTTCTTCATATTGAAATTGATGTATTTTTGTTGCTTAGGGTTTAGCGTGATATTGAATGTTTGTTTGAGTTTTTCAATGTTATTTTTGTTTTTGTTGTTTAGTTTTTCTTTTCTTTAGGTTGGAACATTTAATGTTTGAGTTAGGTGGAGTCTTCAAGTGTTTTACAATCATTCACTTTTTAGAATTTCAATGTTTCAATAGTTCTATTTTGTAACAATTTCTATGTTTTTTATTTTTGACTTTGATTTGGGTATATTTAATTCCCGTTAATTTGCAAAAACAATGGGAGCAAATACAGAAAGAAGATTTTATTCTCGTGGCTCTTGGAAAAAAAACAATTTCGATTTTACTGGAGTTGATTAGTTCTGAAATGAGATTATGCAAATTTCTTTTTAGCTGTATATTAGAAAAAGAGGGTCTTGCTCTTGCATATCTAGATCTGTGAGCAACATTGCTTAATGGTGTCGTGTTTGCTTGTGTTTAAAAAATATATTATTTAGATTTACTTTGTTTGACTAATATAATATAATTGGATGGCTAATAATCGAATATAGATTTGGAGTCGAGTCAGCAGATATAGAATTTGTTTCATCTTGTGATCTTGTTATATGAGTTGTTTTCATTTTTATAATTGTTATTAATGGCTTCGATAATGAGCCAGAAGTGAAGTGATCATGCATTGTAGTATATGCTTGCTTCCTACTGGATGTAAGAATAGTTTCAAACTTTATCATAGGACTAAAATTGCAGTATGATAATCTAATTTTCTCGACGGAGCTCTGTAATAAGTTTGGTTTAGAGAATCTATTAATTTTTTTTTTGAATTTTTTGCAAAAAAAAAAAAATGAAAAAAAATTGGATTAAGATATTTTGATATCCAATCCGAAATTTCGGATATATCCGATTTTGGATATTCGATTTTTTTGGATCGGATACGGATCTTACATTAGGGTATCCGAAAATTTCGGATATCTGAAAATTTGAATCGGATAATATCTGATATCCGATAATGAACACCCCTAATGGCTACCGTGTTTTTAGACTCTCGGTGCAGGTTTGTTTTATTAGTCTTCTTCTTGGTCTTTATTTTCCCTGAATACATGGTTGATTACTTTCCCAATGCCGGTTCATCTGTTCGTTTGAACAAGATGGTTCGTTTATGTACGTCGCGGTTGGTTATCGTATAGATGTGTTAGATGAAATTGTTTTTAAGGGGAGATCGTTTTTTCATTGGCCATTTCGATTCTTCTTCAAGTTTCTATCCCTCCATTTGATGTTCGAAGCCTTTGGTGTTTCAGTTTATATACGACGTTGCTTCACTTGTTAATGCGAAGTTTCATGAATTTACGTTAATATAAAAAATAAGCTTAATTTATTTTGGATGCATCCACCTCCTCACACCGTCGATTTCTATTTAAACATTATCATTTGATAGCTGAACAATTTTTTTTTGTATTAAGTGTTCTTGTTTAGTTTTGTTACACAATTAGAAAGGAAGAAGAAATTTGATGAAAATGAAAGAGATATTTCATTATGAACTCTCAAAAAAACCTGTAACAATTGAAGAAGGAATTGGCCAGGTGGGATGGTGAAGGGCAAATGGGACGACTTAATAATACACACCCGCCTCAAAATCAAGAAGCAAAACCTCTATTGTTAATTAGTTAATTACTTAGCTTAGCCCTAATCATTTGCTTCTATCCACTAACTCCACTCTTGCCCACCTTCCCCTCTCATTTCAAGAATTAAAAAAGACCCAAATTTATACACAACAGAACAGAAGACAAAGACCAGCACCATCGTTTCTCAAAGTCCAAGGCCTTCCATCTTCTTCAACCTGACCTGCTGAAATCAATCAATGACATCAATACCTTATTTCATTATCTTCCCCCATTTTTACCAGATTTGGGGACCAAAACACAATCTGTGTAGCAACAACCAAATCAGTGAGCTGTTGATTTAGACTTTGATTCATGTGAAACAACATTTGTTTTACTAACTAATACAAGTGTTGGCATCATGAAATCTACAAACCCAGTCTCAATATACAAATAATACCAAAAAACAGCTTGGATCCAGGCTTAAATTATAATTTTGTTACAATCCTTAGCAGCCAACTCAATCCAATATATATATAAACTCGTATTTAGGGTTAAAGAAAATTTTGTACCTTTCATACACAGATTGACCATTATATTGATATATAAATTATAATGGATAAAATATCATAGGTCATTGGACTATATTCAAATGATCATCTTGGTCATTGAACTTTCAAAAACAACAAAATAAATAAATAAAATTATCGAATTTGACAAATTTAATGATCAATTTGTTACATCTCAATAAAATTTAAATCATTTAATAATATTCAATAAATCTAATTAACATCTAATGTGAAATCTTTGATAAAATTATATGTTAATTTTTAGTATAATTATCAATATTTTATATTGATCAATTAATTTGAGTCGAATATTCAAAATTCTATTACGAGGATGACTACTACAATACCAATATTTAAACTCATGATGAGGAAAATGTGTTTATTTTACTTAATTAATACCCTGAAATCATTTTACTTAATGGTAAACCTGAAATCTGTAGACACCGTTACTGTCCGGGTCCTCTTTTTATTTTTATTTAATTTAATTATTATTATTATTTATTATTATTATTATATTAATACAAATATTTATATTTTGATGCAGGCTATTAAGCCCACCAATACATCCAGCCTAACTAAACCCTAAATAGATTAGAGTTTTTATCTAATCCCCTAACCCTAAAACTACAGCAGCCAGTGACTATTCGGCTCCAACCGTCACCGCTTGGCCTTCCAACTTCCACAGCCGCACGCGTGAGCTGACGCCGTTAACTCCTCAAGCCATTACCGACAATCCTGAACCAAACAGTGATGGTAAATCTATCAACACTGACCGTTTCTCAACCAAATCAGAGCAATAGTAAACCTAAATTGAAAACCTATTTAAAAACGAAATAAATCCCGAAAATTCAGGATTTCACCAGCTACCAAATCAACCCATAATTTCCCTAAGTTCTAGATATCATCATTCAGCAACCACAACAAAAAGGAGAAAGAGGCAACCATTTTAGGGGAGGCATTCGGGTTTTCAAGAAAAAAAATGGAAAAATACCGAAAAAAACAAAGAATGAAAAAGGAAAAGCTCTCACCTTTGGTACATCGGCCACTACCGTTTCCTCACACGAGACACCACTGCAGTTGTGCGGCTTCACCGGACCAACAGCCTTTCTGTTTTAAAGGTAAATGTTTTGTGTAATCGAGTTGGGTGGAGGACTCGGTTTCTAGGTTTGTTTTAGGAAGGTAGAGGAGAAAGAGAGAAAGGGGTGGGCCATTGTTCAGTTTGAATCCCCGTGGCCACCGATTTACGGTGGCCGGGGTGAGGGTTATTTTTCTCTGCGATAGTGGAGAAGGGAAGGTTATAGAGGGGAGGGTTGAGCGGCTGAGAGATGAAGAAATAATGAGGGATTAGGGTTTAGAACCCTAATATGGTTTTATGACCACACAGTCGAACGACGTCGTTCTGGGGACCTTATGCGTGTTTTCGGATTGTGGTTAACTACATGTTTGGTCCCCCATATTTTGTAATCTGTTTGTTTAATCATTAAATGAAATTTCTAATATTCTGTTTCAGACGTGTATTTTACAATATTTGTATTTCAGTCACTAGTTTGTTTACTTTGTCATGTTTATGTATGTTTTACTTTAGTATCAATGTTTTTTAGTTATTTTATTTTAGTCACTGGTAGCTTGTGTTGTGTATTTTTGTTGACATTTGAATCTGGTCATATCATTTCTAAACATTTTATTTTAGTCACTGCTTCACTTTGGTTTAATTATTAGTCGGTCTTAATGTTTTGTTTTAATTCATTTTAGTCCTGTATTATGTCTTTTAAATGTTTATATATCTAGCTGTTAATTTCATGTAGTTTTCATTTTGGTCATCAATTAATGATTTATATTTATTCTATTTTGGAGTTGATATTTTATACCTTTTCATTTTGATCCCTATTTGATCACTAGTGTGCTTTGGGCAAATACTTTGTTTTGAGCCCTGATTGTGATTTATTTCATTTTAGTCACTAATTTTATATATGGTGTATTTTCTTTGATGTTTTAATTTGGCCATGTCTTTTGTAGGATTTTATTTTAATAATTGTTGGGCTTTTGGTTTAAGTATAGTTTGATCCTTATCTTTCTGTTTATCTCATTTTGGTCACTAACAATATTTATGGGCTATTTTCATTTTTAACACCTGTATTATTTAATATGTGCAATTTGAACTATGGTAATTACTTTTTAGCCCTGTTAGTTTATGCTTTTACTAATTTAATCCATTTGTTTATGTATTTCTATTTTAGCCCTATTAATGTATGTTATGTCATTTTGTGGATATTTGACTTTAGACCCAATGTTTGTAATAGTTTCGTTTTAGTCTCTGATTTCATATGATAGGTATTTTGGTAGATGTTCGAATTTATCCCTGATATTTGTGAATATTTATTTTAGTCATTTATGTATGATTTTATTGTACTGTTATTCGGTTATTTGTATTATGTAAATAATGTTTTTTAGTAATGTAAATATTTTATTTTTGTATTTCCAATTACATTATTTTCATTATATTTTTATCTATGTATGAAATATCGATTATATTTTCAAGAACACGTATGCGTAGAATGGGCGTGGAAAGTACCACTTGGTCGAAGTGGTACGATCCGATACGGCATTTTAACGACATAGGAACTTGCAACAAGTCGAGTATATTTTACTAATTAATTTATTTTAATAATGCAATGTGTGTTTTTTAATTCAGTATTTATTTCATTTTTATTTGAATGCAAACGTTAATTTCATTTATATTCGATTTGCATATTTATCAATGAGGGAATATTCTTTTATTAACTAGAAATAGTCGAGTTAGCTTTCCTGATGGAGGATTACTAATTTCGATATTTCTTTTCGAGTTAAAGAATTTTCTGTAATTAATTTATTCAAAGCAAATTGATTAAATTTCAATAAATGGATCACATCTTAATTTTATATTCGATTTGTAATTTCTACCATTACGACAATGTGTAAGCGACACAGTACCAGTTTTTGGGCGTTGTGGGGTGTTAATCCTTCCCTACACGTAACCGATTCCCGAATCCATTTAATCGAATCTTTGGTGACGCATACCAAATTTTGTCTTATAAAATGATTTTTTAAAGATTGTTTTAAAAGACGTTTTTAGGTATTCGACCTACCTAACCTAAAGGTCGATGGCGACTCTATTCAAATTATTCCAAATTAATTCCAAATTCCCCAATTTTTCTAAATTAAAGTCATAATCGTTTTTTAAAAATAATATTTAATTGTTTTACTTAAAAATGGTTATGACAGCTTGGCGACTCCGCTGGGGACTTTTTTTTAGAGAGTCAGGCTGTATGTCGTTTACATATTGTCATCTTGGTGGAAATTATGATTTCTAGTTTTAGTTAATTTATGATCCGTTTATTGAAATTTTTAATTGCTTCGTTTTTTGTCGTACTAACATTTTATTTTTGGCTTTCAGCTTTGTCAGGATTTTATCATTTTTCCTTGTTTTGTTTTCCTTTTGAGTCGAAGGTAAGTATGTTCCTCCTCACACACATCACTCGCATTGGCATAACATAAGCTCTAGACACGAGCTTCGATCCAAATTAGTTGGGGTGAATGCTTTACTCTCGTAAGAATTTATTCTTCGTATGAGTTTTAGCAAATAACCCATGGGATACATACCTTATACCTTCGTAGGAATTTATTCCTCGTATGGGTATAAGGCAGTGAATCCCCTCGAATTGAACTCGGTCCGTTTGAAACCTGTAATGGGTAAGGATTGAGGGTCTGGCAGCCCAAGGGGGCCGAAATCAAGGACAATTCGAGTCCCTTTTTCCGTTAGAGCCGAAACCAAGCATATAGTGAACCGTCGACGATCACCTAGGTATAGTTATATCGAACCCTCTGTCCGTCAGTAGGTACCCAAACTAGGTGTACACAAAGGAGGAGTGTTTCTAAAACCCTTATCTTTTGTTTTAATTTCGTAGAATTTGTTTTCTTTTTGAATAAAAGCATGCGAACTAGATACCATGCGGTTAGGACCAATTTTTTTTGAAATTATTCATTTTGGGTAGATAACATGTACGGGTAGGACTATTATCTATTTAAAGCATGCTCGGGTAGATATCATGATGGGTAGGTGTATATTCATCTTTTAATAACACTTTTATCTATATCGATTGTCTTACCTGTACTAACTAATTTCTTTATTTTCTTTGTGTGCACTAACTTATTTATTTTCTGTTGTTTTTGTTTTTTCATTCTTCTTTACATTGCATCATCATAACATAATGCGAAAATGTTGATCAACAAGGGGATATTCGAGAGAAAATTTTCACAAGAAGAGATAAAAGTTTTCAACCAAGCAGTCGCGTACACAGACATGCACCGAAGGCTAAAAAGAAATGCACAGAGTACGAGAAGGAGACTTGCTCAAGATGATCGTGCAACGTTCGAGAATAAAATGATGAGCCACTGATCCGATGAGTGATCCAGCAGTCGATTTTTATCTACGATCGTTTCATCGCTATTTATCAAGGAGCGGCACACTGACTTCCGCACCACTGGGGCATTAACAGAGTTAGGTTACAGAATGTTTTAGGGGCATCATTTCCGAATACAAAGATCCGAGACAAAGCAGTGAGCTCGAAGATCGTGCAACATTTAAGACTGAAGTCTGGGGATTAATCCAGCAGTAGATTATTATTTACGATCGTTCCGA